AGCTTCCCTTGCTTGACTCATGATCAAGTCGATGGAGGTCCTTCTCAATAAGACATCTTCCTGTTGTTTTCTGTTTTCTAGGATTTCTTTTCTTTTTTTGTGTTGGCGTCTCACTCTGTCACCCAGGCTGGAGTGCAGTGGCCGCTCCTGGCCACCGCAGCCTCGACCTGCTGGGCTCCGGTGACCCTTCCGCCTCAGCCTTCTGAGTAGCTGGAACTACAGGCACGCGCTACCACACCCGGCTAATTTTTGATTTATTGTAGCGATGAGGTCTCACCAAGTTGCCCGGGCAAGTCTCGAACCCTCGGGCTCAGGCAATCCATTCACCTCAGTCTCCCAAAGTGTGGGATTACAGGATGAGCCACCGAGCCTGCCCTTTTGCCCACTTTTTAATGGGGCTGTTGGTTTCCTTTCAGCACATTTGAGTTCCTTGTAGATCCAGGATGCTAGGCCTTTATCAGACATACAGTTGGCGAATATTTTTTCTTATTCTTTGGGCAGAAGATTCTCAAATGGTTAATTAATATTACTAAAATCAGGGAAAGAGGATCTGACAGGCAGGAGGAGATGGGATTTTTGAAGAGGTATCAGTTTGCAGCTGTTAAAGTCATCAAGCTGGAAATGACATGGGCCTAATCTCTCTGAAAAATAGTGGATGAAAAATATTGGAAATCATGTGACCAGAAGATGTAGAAACAGTATGACACATTTGTGTTTGTGTTGAAGGAGAGGGAAGAATCAGGATGATTTCCAGGTAATCTGTCTTGGGAGGGGTGATTTTGGAAGATGCTAGAGCCATTTGAACAGAAGTTGGTTTAGAAGGAATAATAAATAGTTTGGTGTTTACATATGTTGGGCATGAGTTCGTAAGAGACATTCCGAAAGTAGGTGTTTGGATCTGGAACTCCAGAAAAGAATATATAGTCAAGAATTGATAACATCAGGATTGAAGTGTTTGAAAATGTAGAAGTAGATGTGATCATCTAGGAATCCAAGAAGAGTACGGAGACCAAGCATGAACATTTTGGAGTTGGGTCAGAATGAAGACTGAGAGGGAATGGTTTGGAAAGAATCCACTAATTTGTCACTTAGATGTCACTGGTGACTGTTGGTAATGGGGTTTCAGTGCTGTGTTAGAAATAGTTCAAGTTGCAGAATACTTTTGTATTATATTAATTATATACATGCATTGCATTATATATTTAGGTACTTTATTAAGATTATGAAATACTTGATGCATTAAAAATTAGAGAATTAGATAACCAACTCTTATGTACCAAAGATGTAATTTTTTTTTGAGTTGGAGTCTCACTCTCCCTTAGCCTGGAGGGCAGTGGCACACTCCCAGTCACCGCAGCCTTGACCTGCTGGGCTCCGACGATCCTTCCACTTCAGCCTTCCAGGTAGCTTGAACTACAGGCTTGTGCCATCATGCCCGTCTAACTTTTTGATTTATTGTAGAGGTGAGGTTTCGCCAAGTTGCCCAGACTGGTAGGCTAGTTTCGAACCAGTGGGCTCAGGTAGTCCTCTCACTTTGGCCTCGCAAAGTGCTGGGATTATAGGTGTGAGCCACCACGTCCAACCAAGATGCAGTTTTTTAACCTTTTTATTTTTAAGTAATTATAGACTCATAAGAAGTTGTAAAAATAGTCCAGAGAGGTCTTCCTGGGTGGCCTTCTCTCAGCTTCCTCCAGTCACAATTCAGTTTAACAAATGTTCTAGACTAATTCATATGTTAGTGTCTTGGTATGTATTATGGAACCATGCAGGTTCATGGGGCAAGTTTGTCGTGTTTTTTTTGTTTGTTTGTTTTTTGAGTCGGAGTCTCACTCTGTCGCCCAGACTGGAGTGCAGTGACCGCTCCCGGCCACTGCAGCCTCGACCTGCTGGGCTCCAACGATCCTTCCGCCTCAGCCTTCCGAGTAGCCAGAATTACAGGCACGTGCTACCACACCTGGCTAATTTTTTTTATTTGCTGTAGAGATGAGGTCTCGCCAAGTTGCCCGGGCAGGTCTCGAACCCGGGAGCTCAGGCAATCCACTCACCTCAGCCTCCCAAAGCGCGGGATTACAGGCTGAGCCACCAAGCCCGGCTGTGTTTTTGTTGTTTTTTTTTTTAAATTTGATACAGGTTCTCACTTTGTTGCCCAGACTGGAGTGCAGTGGTGTGATCTGGGTTCACTGTAGCCTTGACCTCCTGGGCTCAGGTGGTCCTTCCTCCTCAGCCTCCTGAGTAGCTGGGACTACAGGCAGGTGCCACCATGCTTGGCTAGTTATTTGATTTTATTTTTTGTAGAGATGAGATACTGCCTAGGCTGGTCTCAAGAGACTCTCCCACCTTAGCCTCCCAAAGTGCTGGGATTACAGGCGTGAGCCACTGTGACCCGCCCAGATCTGGAGTTTGGATTCTCATGGGCTCCTCCTGCGCCCCTCCCTCCGGTGGGGGCAGGAGGACACGGCTTCCTTGCTGTTTCTTGAGTGTGTGGGTGGAACTTTCCATCTCCACTTTTACTTGTTGAGCACCCCCTTTCACGATCTTGACTGAACATAGGAATTTCACATGCAATCCTCCCCTGAAAGAGGCTCAAAGTGAGGCATTCTGTTTCTGTGGGCACAGTGCACCCTCCATAAACTGCCGTGGTTCCAGCAAGAGCTTCCGACTGTGGCTTTGCATTTCCTCCTTTCTGGTACCTGGGAATTTCTCTCCCCTCCCCCTTTCGAGTTCAGCTATACATTTTAATTTTTCATATTGATTTAGCATTTCAGTGAGTATTTCATCACATGGATGTACTAGACCCAGTCTGTTCATGCTTGTGATCCCAGCGCTTTGGGAGGCTGAGGCAAGAGGATTGCCGGAACCCAGGAGTTTGAGACTAGCCTAGGCAACATAGTGAGACCTCGTCTCTCCAAAAATAAATAGCTGGGTGATGCATGCCTGTAGTCCCAGCTATTCAGGAGCTTAGGCAAAAGAATCACCTGAGCCCAGGAGGTCAAGGTTTCGATGAGCCAAGATTGTGCCACTGCACTTCAGCCTGGGAAACAGTGTGAGACCCCAACTCAAAAAGGCCAAAAGGAAAAGAAGTCTAATAAACTATTTCTTTTTTTCTAATAAACTGTCTTAATTTTACTCTCTGTCTTATTCCACAAAGAGGGTTTGAGGTTGAATTAAATTATTCTCTATTTTTTATTTTTGTTTGAGTTGGAGTCTCACTCTGTCACCCAGTCTGGAGTGCAGTGGCGTGCTCACAGCCACCGTAGCCTTGGACAGCTAGGCTTAGATGATCTTTCCGCCTCAGCCTTCCAAATAGCTGGAAGTACAGGCATATTCCACCACACCCAGCTACTTTTTTTTTGTTTTTGATTTATTGTACAGATATCTCGCCAAGTTGCCCAGGATGGTCTCGAACCCTGGACTCAGGTAGTTCTCTCACCTCGGCCTCCCAAAGTGCTGGCATTATAGGTGTGAGCCACCGTGCCCAACCTTTTAACAGAAGTTTTAAACTTTAATCCTTTGTACTCGAATGTCTCCTCTGAAAGGGTGTCATAAATCCAGCAAACCACGCTGATGTCCCCTCTCAAGGGACATAAAGAGATTATGGTGATTATACAGGACAATCTTGTGCAAGCACAAATTTTTCAAAAATGTATGTTTCCTTGTGTTTTCCATTCAAATTGTGTGAAAAAGCAAATAAAGAGATGAAATATATGCTGAGATTTGATCAATCAGTTGAGAAATGGTTTTTAGGAATCACGAGTGTGTCCTTCCAAATCATCTTTCAACAACAGACTGGACAACAAATCACGTTACTGTTAATGTGGAAAGAAGAAAACGGGACTGTTGTCTGCTCGAATAAAAGATACCAGGTGGAAGACATCAAACAAACTACTGTGGCACAACATGTACCAATGACCCTGCAATGCTGTTGGTGACTGTTTTGTACATTAACACATGCTAGAAAAATATAAGATGCGAAAATGTGATTTTTTTCCTTAAGTTTCTCAATGTCCAAAATTCCACTACAAGCCAAACAGCATTGCAATAAAATAATTGGTTCCAACCCTGTACTATTTAATGTGAAGGGGCTCGTGGCTCACTATAAAGCAGGTGTGGTTGAGTTGCTGGCTGGCGATCTACGAGATGGCTCCAAGTGCACAGGGATGTTAAAGTGACATTTATAATTTGATTTCATAACCAGTATTCTTGATTTTTCCATCAGTTTGACAAGGAGCAATTGTATTTTCTTCTGCTCTCAGAGCTTTAGAGTTAGGACTTCACTAATTATATGTTACATGTATGTTTTTGTATATGAATAGATTACATTTTAATTTTTGTTCACAAACTTCTCAAAATGTGACAGAATATGACAAAATAATGTAAAGTATTGATGGGATGTTTTAAATTATGTGGAACATTAAGATAATGAAACACTAGCTCTAATTTTTATTACTTTAAATTGGCACTTAATTATACATATTTGTGGGATACAGTGTGATGTTCCAATACATGTATACCATGTATAATGATCGAATCAGGGCAGTGAGCATATCCATTACCTCAGACATTTATTGGTTTTTAGTGCTGGAAACATTTGAAATCCTCTTTTAAAAATGTGGAATGCTTCATGAATTTACACGTCGTCTTTGCTTGGGGACTGTGCTGATCTCGGCATCGTTCCAATTTTAGTGTATGTGCCACCGAAGTGAGCACTAGCTCTGATTTTTAGGAGGTAGTGGCAGTGGTATTTTGTGGTCCCGGAATTATGGAGACATATTTTGGCTGTACCTAAAAATTGTCCTGATGGCTGGCTGGTCCATGGTTTTGCATCTGTGCGAGTGATTGCTCAAAGAAGTGAGAAGGCCTGTCAGAGACAAAGGCCTCTCCTTGGGTTCCTGAGCCACAGTTTATTCCGTGATTGCCTAACTGCAGCTCCGTGTGGAATTCAATAACGTGGAAGCCAGAAGCAGAAGCACGTGACTGTTTGTTTCCTTCCCCAGATCAACCTCTCCACCTCTCCTGCGCCTGCGCAGTTGATGAGCCGCTCCCCGGCCTCCAGTTCTACCAGCGGCAGCATCACCCAGCAGACCATGTTGCTAGGGAGCACCTCCCCGACCCTCACGGCCAGCCAAGCGCAGATGTATCTCCGGGCTCAAATGGTGAGACACGGGCAGCCAGACTGTTTCAGCCGTCAGAACGTTCCTTGGTTTTGATACTTAAGACAGGCTTCATTCTGTGTCGGTGTGCTCAGCTCTTGTGTATTTAGGACAAGAAAAATTCTACTTTTAACCAATAGGATTTCTGGTATCAGGTAGTAATTGTCAACATTGGGAAACTAAGAGAGTCTATAACATGAGTAAATTTTAATATAAAATTTCATATCTTTTAAAAACTTTTTTCACATCTAATGTTATTTATTAATTTCCATCTGCTGGGCTCAGGCAATCCTTTCGCCTCAGCCTCCCAAGTAGTTGGAACCACAGGCGCATGCCACCACTGGCTCATTTTTTGATTTATTGTAGAGACAAGGTCTTGCCAAGTTGTCCAGGCTGGTCTCAAACCCCTGGGCTCAGACATTCCTCTTGCCTCCACCTCTCAAAGTGCTGGGATGACACGTGTGAGCCACTGCACCCGGCTTTTCATGTTTTTAACATCTCTGAAGTTGGGATGCATTTGAAAACTAATGGCATCTTAACAGTTATTATTGGTACTTATAGTGGTATATAAGTGGTATGTGATCATTGTATATTTTTGGCAACTTGGATTTATTGAAATAGAAATGTTAAAAACTTGGTTGTTAACCAAAAATTAGAATTTATATCCTGGGGTCATCTTTATCTGGATTGGAGTTCCTGGTAATTTCCCAGATGATTCTTAGATCTGATTGCTCCTGTCTAAAATTCTGCAAGGTTATTTGTGTTCTTATGCTCATTTGATAAATATAGGAATATTGATTTTTCTGTATTTGGGTGCCTATTGATTTCCTAATTTAATTGTTGAGCTTCTTTAAGAAATGTAGAAATTGATTGACATTATTTTATTTGATTGTCTTTATAGGAAGCTAGGCAAAAACTTTGACCCTAATATATATTTACTTACATTCTTTTCGCTCAGTGAACTGAATATATATCTGAATCCCCAGTTCTCTACCTACAATTATAAAGAAAATTTTCAGTCATATTTTTAACAGTAAATAATGACATGACCAACCTTTTATTCACAGATTATTTAATAGACATTACCATATTTCTGGATTTTTTCCACAGTGATTTTTTTTTTTTTTTTTAATTGGAATCTCACTCTGTTGTCCAGGCTGGAGTTCAGTGGCACACTCATGGCCACTGCACCCTCGACCTGCTGGGCTCAGACTATCCTTCTGCCTCAGCCTTCCAAGTAGCTGGAATTACAGATGTATACCACCACGCCCTGCTAATTTTTTGATTTGCTGTGGAGATGAGATCTTGCCAAGTTGCCCAGACTGGTCTCAAACCCCTGGGCTCAGGCAGTCCTCTCACCTCCACCTCCCAAAGTGCTGGGATTACAGGCATAAGCCACCGCGCCTGGCCCACTGTGATATCTTATTTAACTAATAATATGATTTAAAATTAGGTTGAACCACTTGAAATGGAATTTTCAACCCCTAAAATCAGTAGTTTCATGTGGTTGAGACTAAATGGAGTATCTGAACTTCAGGTTTAGTACATTCGCAGTGTTGGTCCTAGAAATTACCTTTTCTTGAAAATTATTCCAGTCTTTCCCTGGTGTCCGTGGGGGATTTGTTCCAGGAACTCCTCTCCATACCCAGATCCAAGGATGCTCAAATCTCTGACATAAAGTGGCATAGTAAGCCGGGCACAGTGGCTCACATCTACAATCCCAGCACTTTGGGAAGGTGAGAGGACTGCCTGAGCCCAGGGGTTCAAGACCATTCTGGGCAACTTGGTGAGACCTCATGTCTACAATAAATAACAAAATTAGACAGGTATGGTGACGTGTACCTGTAGTTCCAGCTACTTGGAAGGCTGAGGTAGTAAGGATCATCTGAGCCCAGTAGGTTGAGACTGTGGCAGCCGTGTGCACTTCAGCCTGGGCAGCAGAATGAGATTCTGACTCCCACCCCCAAAAAAGTGGCATAGTATTTGCATGTAACGTGTGCGTATCCTCCCATACACTTTAAATCATCTCTGAGGCTGGGTGCGGTGGCTCAGGCCTGTAATCCCAGCATTTTGGGAGGCCGAGGTGAGAGGATTGCCTGAGCATCGGGTTCAAGAATGTTCTGGGCGACTTGGCGAGACCGCATCGCTACAATAAATCAAAATTAGCTGGGAGTGATAGCGCTCGCCTGTAGTTCCGGCTTCTTGGAAGGCTGAGGTGGAAGGCTCGCCGGAGCCCAGCAGGTTGACACTGGGGTGACTGTGAGCATGCCACTGCACTCCAGCCTGGGCGACAGAGTGAAACTCCAACTCAAATAAATAAATACATAAATAAACAAACAAATAAATCATCTCTAGATACCTAACACGATGCAAACACTGTTGGTTGGGATAGTTGTTGTACTGTATTGTTTAGGGAATAGTTAGTTACAAGGAAAAAAGTCTGTCTGTGTTCGGTACAGATGCAACCATTCTTTTTTTTTTTTTTTGAGTTGGGGTTTCACTCTGTCCCCCAGGCTGGAGTGTCATGGAAGGATCATGGCTCATCTTAGCTTCAGTCTCCTGGGGTCAAGTGGTCTTTCCATCTCAGCCTTCCGAGTAGCTGAGACTGTAGGCGCACTCCTGGCTAATATTTTGATTTTTGTAGAGATGAGGTCTCACTGTGTTGCCGAGGCTGGGCTCAAACTCCTGGACTCAAGCAATCTTCCCGCCTCAGCCAAAAGTTCTAGGATTATAGGTGTGTACTGTCATGCCTGACCCTTTTTTTTCCCTGTATCTTTTTTCTGATCCACAGTTGTTGAACCTACAGATTATAGAGGGCTGACTGTACTTTGTTATTGAATTCATTTACATTTATTATGCTAAAGAACTGAAGTTTAAAAGATTACTTAACTGGAGTTTTTCTAATTTTGTTTAATCTTTGTATGGTTGAACATTTTATTTTTAATTAATTTATTTATTAAGAGATGGTGTCTCACTGTGTTGACCAGGCTAGAGTACAGAGGCCTAAGCATAACTCCTTGTAACCATAAAGTCTTGGGCTCATGGGGTCCTCTTGTCTCAGTCTCTTGAGTAGCTAGGACTACAGGTGTGTGCCACCCTTCTGGCTAAATTATCTTAAATTTTTTTTATAGAATTGGGGTCTTGTGATGTTACCCAGGCTGGTCTTGAACTCCTGGGCTCAAACATTCCTCCTGCTTTCGTCTCTTGAGTTGCTGGGTTTTGCAGGTGTGAGCCACCAGGCCTGGTGAACATTTTCATTTACACGGCAAGGAGGGACTGAATAAACCTTGATACAGTTTTGAAATAGAGTGTTTACACATTCTTTGAAACAACTGCCATAATTTACTAAGTATAAAATTGGATAATCTCTGCATGGATTGTATTGCCTTAGAAATTAATGGCATTTGTTTCAGTATTGAAAAAAAATTCAAAATGATGAGTAAATAAAGTATGTCTTTTTTTTTATGTGAAACTTTTATTGCAGGTTATTTGTTGTTGAATTTTGACATGTGTAGTATTTGTGTTTAGAATGAATATTTCTTTACAAGTCGTTTAAAATCAAAGAGCCACCTGGGTTCGCCCCGTAGATCTTTTGTAGCTGAGTGAACTATGGTAGTATGTAGCATTTGGCATAGCTATCCTATGGTAACGAGGACTGGAAAGACTTCTGGTGTTTCTTTATGTTTCTCACTGAAGTTCAGTTTGTGTCCCAAAATGGTGCCTGTGGTTGTTTCACTCTCTAGTTTAGGAATCCTGTCACAGTAGTTTTGAGCGAGGGAAAATTTAAGCATAATGGCTTATTTGGGACACAGTTTGGTCTGAGGATTTCATATCACCAAAATATATTTTCTTTTTTGAGCACAGATTCTTTTTCCCACTCATCAGAATCACAAGCTGTTTCAAAAATGTTTATGATTTTTTTCTTTTGCGTTCTCTATTGGATACTTCTCTTTGTCATATGAAACCTTTTGCTTAGGAAACAGTTCTAAATTGCATTGTCTTGTTGTCACAAACTTCAGTCTCTCTTGCCTGCTCTACACTGTGTGTAGGATCTGTTCTTTTGTCTTAGGGTATTTTTTTGGTTTTCTGTCTGTACAGCTGATTTTCACGCCCGCTACCACTGTGGCTGCTGCACAGTCTGACATTCCTGTTGTCTCGTCGTCATCGTCATCTTCCTGTCAGTCTGCAGCTACTCAGGTGAGCTTGTCCCGCTTCATAATGTGGCGCCTGGGACTTAGAGGTTCAGGTTAGGGATAAGCATTACGTTTGTGCTTCAGTGACTGATGGTTTCAAATGCTCTTTGTCATGCATTTCAGGGTGAAACTTAATAAAATGCAATGAGAACTTCAAGAAAATGTTTTTGTTCTGTAGAAATTATACCATTAAACAGACAAATTAAAATTTTGGCCAAAGTTAATGAGAGTTTTTGCCGATGATGTATGTTTAGTTTTATTGTAAAGCAGATTTATTTTTCTTATTATGCGGGATGTATTCTTTTGTGTCCATTCCTTTGCAATATTCCTTGTATAATAACTCAGATAAGATAGATTTTAAGTTTGAAATGAATTAAATTGGAAAAATTTTAAATTTTAAAAATTGAGTAGAATATTGCTTTTAGGTGCATTGGCAAAAATGAACCTTAACTTTCTCCTCACATTATACACAAAAGTGAACAAGATGCAAAATATAGATCTAACAGTAAAAGCCAAAACTGTAAAAGTGCTAAAGGAAAACATAGGAGAATGTCTTTGCAACTGGAGGGTAGGCAGAACTTTCTTAGGACACAGAAAGCACTCAACATAGAAGAAAATAATGTTAACAAATGTTTTGTATATCATCAGACTTAAAAACGATTTCTCAAAAGACATTGTTACAAAAATGAAGAGGCAAGATACACATTGAAGGAAAGTGTTTGTAATACATAGATCTGACCCAGAATATTCCAGTAATGCTTACAACTCAGCAAGATAAAAAGCAATTCAATTAAAAAATGGGCAAAAGATTTGAACAGACACTTCAGAAAAGACAATATACAAAAGACCAATAAGCACAGGATGAAATGCTCAACATCATTAATCTTGATGGAAATGCAAATCAGAACCATGATGAGTATCATCATATACTCAAGAGAATGGCTGAAATAAAGACTGATAATGCCATATATTGGTGAGAATGTTAAGTAACCAGACTCACATACATTGCTGGTGAGAGTGAAAAATGGTACATTCACTTTAGAAAAGAGTTTGGCAGTTTCTTATGAAGTTAAACATACACTTAACGGGTAACCCAGTCATTCTATTCCTGTATATTTACTCTGAGAGATGTGAAAACTTATATCCACATAAAGATATCTAAACAAATACTTGGAGCAGAGTAACCCCAGATTGGTAACAACCAAATGTTCTCTAACTACTGAGTGGTTAAAACAAATTTTGACTTATTTATACAGTGTAATCACTACTCAGAAATAAAAGAGAAAAGCAAACTACCAGTGAATCTCAGAAACGTTATGTTTGTTTTGTTTTTGAGTTGGTGTCTCAATCTGTCACCCAGGCTGAAGTACAGTGGCACACTCACGGCCACCACAGCTTTGACTTGCTGGGCTCTGGCAGTCCCTCCGTCTCAGCCTTCCAAGTAGCTGGAACTACCATGCCACCATACCCGGCTACATTTTCCTTGATTTATTGTAGAGATGAGGTCTCGCCAAGTTGCCCAGGCTGATTTTGAACCCGTGAGCTCAGGCAGTCCTCTCACCTTGGCCTCCCAAAGTGCTGGGATTATAGGTGTGAGCCCCTGTGCCTGTTTTTTTTTTTTGTTTGTTTGTTTTGTTTTTTTGAGTTAGAGTTCATTCTGTGGCCCAGGCTAGAGTACAGTGACAGGCTCACTGCCAGTGCACCCTCGACCTGCTGGGCTCAGGTGATCCTTTTGCCTCAGCCTTCCAAGTAGCTGGAATTACAGGTGTGCACCACCACGCCCAGCTGATTTTTTTTTTTTAATTGTAGAGATGAGGTCTTGCCAAGTTGCCTAGGCTGGTCTCGAACCAGTGGGCTTGCCTCCACCTCCCAAAGTGCTAGGATTATAGGCATGAGCCACCGTGCCCAGCTGGAAACACTATGTTTAGCAGAAGAAACTGGGCATAAGAAATCCATACTTTCTGATTTCATTATATGAAATTTTCTAATAGGCAAAACTATTTGTAGTGAAAAAAATTAGATTAGTAGTGACTGGGGCAGAAGGTGAGAGAGAGTAATTGGGAAGGGCCATGAGTGAACTGTTAGGGTGATAAAGTTTTCCATATTTTGATTGGGGTAGAGGCTATATGGTATGTGCATATGTTAAAATTCATTGAACTGGTTTATTCATTTTACTGTATGTATGTTACACTCAATAAATTTGATAAGAATGAATTAGATTGAGTAAGCTTTAAAACAGTTGAAGCTGGGTACTGTGGCTCTTGTCTGTATTCCCACACTTTGGGAGGCTGAGGTTAGAGGATTGCCTGAGCCCGGGGGTTTGAGAACAGCCTGGGCAACTTGGTAAGATCTCGTCTCTACAGTAAATAAAAAAAATTAGCCAGACGTGGTGGTGTGTGTCTGTAGTTCCAGCTACTTGGAAGGCTGTGGTAGCCATGACCATGCCACTGTACTCCAGCCTGGGTGACAGAGTAAGAATCTGACTCAAAAAAGCCCCCAAAACAACAAAAACAAAAAATTGAATAGAATATTATTTTGAGTGACATTGCTGAATTTTAGTATTTTTTCATTGCAAATATTTTAGACTGTCTATGGCAGAAATTAGTGTATCTCAGGGTCATTCTTGGCTTCTTATTTTTAGCATAATAATCTCAATCTTCCAGTAGAAAATACATGAGCTGGGCACAGTGGTGCATGCCTATATTCCCAGTACTCTTTGGAAGGCTGAGGTGGGAGAATCGTTTGAGGTCAGGAGTTCAAGACTAACCTTGTCTCTACAAAAAAATAGAATATGTAGCCAGTCATGGTGGCACACGCCTGTAGTCCTAGCTACTTGATAGGCTAGCTAGAGTTGAGCACCAGAGTTCTGTGATTGTGTCACTGCGTTCTGTGATTGTGTCACTGCGTTCTGTGATTGTGTCACTGCACTCCAGCCTGGGTGACAGAGTGAGAGCCTGTCTCAAGAAAACAACCAACCAAACAAACAAAAATGAGATATTAGTAATATTCTTCAGTATTTTTCACAGAACCTCTGTACATGTTATTTCATTTAATAATAAAGGCCAATTTTCATGTATTGGTATAGAAAGATACTGGCCAGTTAAACTCAGATTTTTCGTAACTTGCTCTATGACCCTCCTCCACAAATCCTTAACTTTGTTGAACTTTCTTTCCATATTTACAAAATGAGACCTTTGTTAGCTTTAAGATTTTTTTCAGCTCTGAGCTTTTTTTTGTTTGTTTTCTGTTTTTTGAGTTGGAGTCTCACTCCTTCGCCCAGACTGGAGTGCAGTGGCCACTCCCAGCCACCGCAGCCTCGACTTGCTGGGCTCCAGTGATCTTTCCGCCTCAGCCTTCCAAGTAGCTGGAACTACAGGCGTGCGCTACCACGCCCGGCTAATTTTTGGTTTATTGTAGAGATGAAATCTCGCCAGGTTGCCCAGGCAGGTCTCGAACCCGTGGTCTCAGGCAATCCACTCACCTCGGCCTCCCAAGGTGAGGGGTTACAGGCTGAGCCACTGAGCCCGGCTAGCTCTGAACTTTTATAATGTCTCTTTGTGGAATGAATTTGGTGAAGAAGTTATTTTCCTCTTCTCTTTTGATCGGGTTTTATAAAGCCTAAGAGAGTACACCATTATTAACTTTCATAATGTTTTAAATTTTATTTCTTTTATTTTTACTTGACTTTGTTCCATCTAAGTTTTTAGTTAGTTTACAAGATGCATACAGCAAAACATGATAAAATAAATTGCAAACATGTAAGAAAAAGCGCAGATAAAACTTTGAAAGTGGTATGGAGCTAGGAGTGAAGTTGCTATTCAGCTTATATGCGTCAAGTTCTATATGGACTTAAGTTCAACTGCCACTTCTCTCACCTCCGTCATTTATTAATTGTGTGACTTTAAACAAGTTACCAAACCTTTCTAATACACATTCATATTTGTAGGGTGTGTTGAATGATGTGCGATATATATATTTAGTGTTTAGAACATTACAGGCACTCAGTAAGGAGAATTTTTTTTTTTTTTAGCAAAGGGAGAGTGGGAAGACCTGGGTTCGAATTCTGAATTCAGCAGTACTTGCCAACTGACTGATTTTGGACAAGTTAGTGTAGCATGGGTGTGTAAGTATGGACTTTGGAGTCATACTCTCTGGGTTCAGATGCTTGCTCCACCACATAGGATAATTACACTACTTAGGTTGTTTTGAGGCTTAAATATGTTAATAAATGTAAAAGAAGCATCTAATTAGCAGCACTCTCTAAATGTTAGCTGTTACTATTGTCCTTGCTAAGCCTCAGTTTTTTTCACTGTAAACTGAAAGTAACACCTCAGAGTTATTATAAGGAATAAAGGAGGCAATAATTATAAAGTACTTACTTAGCATAGTGCCTGCCACATAAGAAGATATCATATGCTACTGATTTCTATTTTTGTCGTATGTTTTTCTAAAAATGAGTCCCAAAGTTGGTTCTTAGCTTTCAAGTAGCTAATAGTGAAGAGAGAAACGCAACCACTTAAGGGTTTATAGTTTTCAAGATAAAATAAACCAGTTGCTTAGGAAAATATAACTATTTCTAACATGCTCTCCAGAGCATAATTTGTCTTGCAGGTACTCATGAAGAAAACATTTTATATCAGCTTTGGCAGTCTCGTTAATGTAAGCGGGGTCAAAGTAATTTATAAAAGTGGTCTTCAAGGTCCAATTTGATGGGTTCTAGGTATCTGACTCTATGATGATCTGACTTAATTCATCTGACTTAATTATCATGAGGAACTAGAGGAGTAAATTGACCTTTAGCAAATTCTCTAGTAATTCTGTTTTTCTTTGCTGTGTTTTTGAAATGGCAGTGAGTACGGTTGGCGGTGGTAGGTGGACTTCGTATGCTCTCGTAGTTACTTTCCCTATGTTGGTTTTTAAAAATTTCTTCTCCATTTTGTTGGTTTTTAAAATTGTATTTGCAGTTAAACTTTAATTTGTTTGTAATTGAGAAATACCAAATTT